GAAGTATACACTGCTACTTCGAATTCGTTTCCCCCGCACGCAGCTATTAACCTTTACGTCAGCCAAACTACCACTTTATCACATAAACTAACCTTACGATCACCTTCGCAGTGCAAGAAAACCTCAAGATTGGTCCTTCGGTCGCCCGTTTCTATCAAGCAAAGGGCGAGATTCGTTGTCCTTCTCGCACTTCTTCTCCCTTCCTTGTCTCTGCCACCTCCTCCCCCTTCTACCTCCTATTCTACTAACCTTCTGCTGAAACTATCCTGAAATTTGTGTTCGCCACCCCCAAAAACCCCTATCTCAATCTCCCACTCAGTCAATCTCTTCAAGTTCTTACATACTCTATCTACATCTTGCTGCGCTTTGGCTCGTTCTTTCTGCCATCTCTGCATATCGTCATCTTTTTCCCTGCCAATGCATCTGGCCAGCCTCCGGGCCAGGTTCACACCGACCGACCTGAGTAGCTTAGCGATGAGTAACCGCACAGGCCAGAGGCTGACCGCCAGCGGATTCGTGTTTGAGCTGTTCCGGCTCACGCGGTCGAGCACGAGTCGGGCGCGAGCCCCACTCCTAGGTACGTCCTCTCCTTCCTTCTTACTCCTTTCCTTTCTTGCGTGTTCGTCAACTCCCTGTCGACCATTGCCCCTCCGCTTCGACCGATTAGCGCAGCCTGTAGGCATACTCTTGAACAAAACTGAATGCTGCCCTGGTTTCAAAACGGAAACTCCCCACTACAGGCCCTGCTGTCTTATAGTGCTGCTTGTTGGTCGAACGCCTTTAGGAAGAACTAAAGTCAAACGCACCTGCCCCGTACCTATGCCAGATTCCTCAGTAGGGGAATACCCGGTCCTTTCCGCAGGGACCAGGCTAATCTTCTCTGTATCGTTCCAATTTTAACGGATGTCCCGAAGGACTTGTGACTGGGCAGTGGCCCTGGGATATCACCTGCGGGCCGACCGGCCCTTGGCAATTCAGAAATATTTGGTTTTACTCATCGAGTTCTATCATCTGGGTTCGAACTCAGGTCTGTATTTCAACAGTTCAAAGGGTATACCCTCTGAGCTAGGCTCTTGGGTACACTGCCGGTCCCGGGATTATTACCGGACCACGTCCCAAGGTGGGACAAAAAATAATGATAATAATAAATTTTAGTAAAAATTAAAAAGTAGAAAAGGGGACGAGGGAAGGGGGAAGGACCGCTGGAACCCGACCCTCGGTCCTGCCCATCAATCCTGCGATCAGACTTCCCCACAAAACGAAGGGGGATAGTCCCGTGGGACCCTCAACCCCTCAGTTTCCTCCATAAGACGCTCCTCTGCTCCTTCGCAGTCAGCTACTGGCCTCGATCCTCGGGTCTTCGTAGCCCGAGTCCAAAGTCGTAACCTATAGGGGTAGGCGCAAGCTTGGATATAACAGGCACGGGCTTCCTTATAAAGGGTATCCGTGCTGCCCCAAGGGCTGTCGGACAGTGTTAAAAAGCCGTTCCTTTGGCCCTCCGGCCATGTCTATGGCTCCTCGGCACCCGGCCCCACTGCACGAAGGGGTCAGTTTTACCTGCTGCCGTTGTGCATGTGACGCAACTGCGCCGTCCTCCAACTTTTCTCACTAGGTTATCTCCCCCGAAATGCTGCACTTTTACACCTAAGTGTTGGGAAAACCCCCGACTTTTATAGTGCCGCCCGCGGCCTCTACCGTTGACCAAATATCATGGCCGGCCTAGGATGTCCCGCTCTTTGCACCTCACTGATCCTAGTGCTGTAGCTAGTAAGTCAAACGGATTCAATGACTAGATCTTAGCCCAGACCGCCCAATTGCCAGTCTCGAATGCGAATCCGTTCCGCGTGCGCTACTGCAGTTGTCTCAGAACCTCTTTCTAGTTCACGCTACTAGGCGCAGGCGCCGCTCTCATAACCAGATATCTGCCCAAATACTCATGCATCGCTCAAAGCGCACACCCACACACTCTCTAATCAGATCAAAAAGTGCGTGCCATTTCCAACTTCTGAGAGTGGGTTATGGTCAAACAGAAATGAGACACTCTCGAATACTGTCAAAACCGCACCTTCTGCGAGATGCAAAAATGTGCCCAAATACCCTTGTAAGGGGGCCGACAGCGCGCACCAGAGAGAGAGAGAGAGACACACCCCAATCTAACTAACTATCCCGCCCCCCAAAACGACGACGACGATGATGATAAAGTGTAGTATCTGTTCCGATCAGTTTGATGTCTGACCCGTGGACCATCGGGAGATCTTTATTAAAAAAAAAAAACACGGAAAAACAGTGTGCAGCAGAGAGAGAGAGAGAGAGAGAGAGAGAGAGAGAGAGAGAGAGAGAGAGAGAGAGAGACAGAGAGACCAAACTAACTACCCGGCTCATCCCCCACGACTTCTCTGCTCCTGCCGCCTTCCTCCGACCTCTTCCCCCGCTTCTTCACTCTCCCCGCTCCTCCGCCACACCTCCACAGCTCGGGGAAAAAAGGATGTGCCTCCCCTCCGGTCTTTCTCTATGTGCCTGGCGCCAAGCTTGCCCAGGAAGGTACATGATGCCAACGGGGATTGAACCCAAGACCTCATGAATGCCACTTGCGTGCCATACCAACCAAGGTACGCCACTGGATTTCAGTCTAGAGTCGGGGGGAGACAGTAGGGGTAGACATAGCATGCCGATTTCCAAAGCCAGCTGTTGCAGAACCTCCCCAACTAGCAGGAGGTGCTGTACACACATTGGCATAGCTGTTAGGGCACAACCCCCCACGGGACCATGAGTCTAAAAACACCTCCGACCACTACCCCAAAACCTACCGAACCCACCACCCCGACTCATTTCTCCCTCAATCCCTTGTGAGCGAAGCCGCAACAGGTACCCGTGTGTTCTCATAAATGTCACTGAGAGTGCTTCCATATTCACACCAGGTGCAGTATTGTCATCCTCTTAGCAAACAGTACGGTTCTGCACCTCTATCCAGCGGACAATGTCTGCAAAGTTGGAAGTAGCGTGGGGGTTGCAACTGTAAGTGTGGAAACTGATTAATGGCATGGTATGCACACTGGCCTCGCTGTAGCACAATGAGGTCATTTGGCTCTGCAGAGTGTACGGCAGGGGCTGGTTCATTCCGGTGTTAACAGTCTCTGCTGGCGCTTCTTGCCCTGTTATCTCCATTGGCGCTCTCAAGTGTTCCGGAGATAGATCATTGCCAGCCGGGGGTTCCATCGAAGATCATAGGGTGGATGATCGTGATTGCAGGGGAGCAATTGGCCAAAGTGAAATAGAAGTGACGGATTCAGATGGAGGGGTGGAAGTCGATCACCACACCTGTGCTCAGGGTGGCTGCGAATGCCGCGCAGGAGGCTGCACCTTGTGTCTGGTATACTTGTAGGCCCACAGTACTGTGAAAATCGTAACCACATTGTGCAGCGAGCTTGGTATGTTCTGTTCCTGGCTTCTGTATTGGGAGTGATAACTTTCCCTGAGTTATGCAGGCCCGCAGCATTGTGAAATTTGCAACCATATTGTGTACGTAGTACGTACAGATGAGGCTGCTGTCTGGGAGACGGTGGTGGAGACGGGGAATGTCTGCGTCAAAGAGGCACCAGTGACAGCGGATCTTACCATGAATATGTTGATGATGATGGTGATTACGAAATGGGGGAGGAAGCAGAAAAACAAGAGGCTGCACCTTGTGTCTGGTATACTTGTAGGCCCACAGCACTGTGAAAATCGTAACCACATTGTGCAGCGAGCTTGGTATGTTCTGTTCCTGGCTTCTGTATTGGGAGTGATAGCTTTCCCTGAGTTATGCAGGCCCGCAGCATTGTGAAATTTGCAACCATATTGTCTATGTGCAGATGAGGCTGTTGTCTGGGAGACGGTGGTGGAGACGGGGAATGTCTGCGTCAAAGAGGCACCAGTGACATTGGATCTTACCATGAATATGTTGATGATGACGGTGATTACGAAATAGGGGAGGAAGCCGAAAAACAAGAGGCAGTAGGTGGAGGGGATGGTGTAGAAGAGGATGCAGGTGAGGGGGCCGCCGGTGATGGCTGGCAATCAGCAAGTGCAGAATCAGTGGGGGAACAAAGGAAATGGCAAGTGATTGTCCCTTCGCACAGCTCGACCACTCGGTTCTCTTTTTCTATGTGGGGTCATACATTCAGCAGCCACAACAATGGTAGGGTGTTGGCAATCATGCAGCCAGCAATGTTCACGTTGTCTGCTGCTGCAGGTCACGTTTCTGCAGGGACTGCAAGGTCCACATTGCCATCCCCATGCCCCCCCACTGGTAGTAACTTGGAATGGAGGGCATCACTACGTGTGGATATTCGGGCTGGTGCTGCCCGTACTCAGAATTGACATTCAGCAGTGGACGGGCAAGTGACCAGCAATGCATGTGGCGAAACCAGTTTGTAAGCCGTGTGACATGAGTAGGCAGCCGATGCTGCTGGCCATGCACCCAGGGAGTCCAACACCTGGCCAGGAGACTGTGGGGATGGTCCCTAATGAGCAGACGCTGTGTGGAACCCACTGCAACTTTGAAGTGAGCAGTAGTGTTACAGATGTGCGTTTGTGTATGTGTTTGTCTGTCCATGAATATAAACTCTTTAGACTCAGTCAGTATTGCTTCGCATATATCGGAGCAGCACCAACACTCGCCCTCTCTCACTATGAAGCCCTATGTCGCTCCTCTCCCAGCAAGCATGCACATTTTTGCTGCTCGCTGCTCCATAGCTCATTATCAGGAGAAAACTTCTGAACTGAATTGTGATTGACATGCATGTGACAACTCCCCCTGATCTGATCCCATCACTTCCCTTTTGGACCGCTGATTGGGCAGAGAACAGGAATGTCGAGAATGGAAATAGTCGTCACCTCTTTGTTACACTCCTGTTGTGTCGTCCTGTTTCAGGCTCTAACTACGGGCCATCCTCAGGGCTGAGGCTCTTGTTCGACTTTCCCGAGATTGATGAACCTTGTGTTGATGTGCAAATTGGCAGGCCTCTTCTTGTTCAATTCACAGAGCCCCTTCATGTATCAACAAGGATTGTCAGCAAAGGCTGTGATGGCACAATTATGCTTCAGGTATATCACTTGTAACACAACCTACTTGCTGCTAAGTTCCCATTGACGTATACAAAGGACAGTTTCTTCCATGCATTATGACTTCATCCTCTTCTCTCTCTCTCTCTCTCTCTCTCTCTCTCTCTCTCTCTCTCTCTCTCTCTCTCTCTCTCTC